GTGTACATATATATATATATATATAGAAATATATTAAGTATTTTTGTTTTATATAGGGAAAAATATTAAGGTACAAAATCCATGTCTGAAAACTATGATGTTTTAAGCAAATTTTAATAATTAATGCTTTATGCAAATTTGGCACCATAAAATCTGTTTTGAATTGATTCAGCAGACTCATGCATGCCACTTGAGAGAGATAAAGCCAACTAATAAACTAAACTATGTACTCATTAAGGCCTGTTTATTTTACTGATTCGAGTTTAAAATTTAAGTTTTATTATAGTAAAAAGTTCTCATAAACAATCACATTTAATTTTTTTACTACAATAAAAAATTCTCACATAAAATTACATATTAATTTAAATAAAAAAACCCGAACCATTTAACTGCCCTAAACTCATTAAACTCCTCATTGCCAACTGTATATCCCTGAACCAAGTACTCAAATCCCATGCAATAAATTTCAAAATAAAAAAATGCAAAAACAAAACAAGAAAAAAAAAACTTCTGATAAATAAAAATGGCAAAACAAAAAATGCACAGATTTGAAGGCAAGAAAATGCACAGATTTGAAGGCAAGAACGAGAGAGAGAGAGAGAGAGAGAGAGAGAGAGAGAGAGAGAGAGAGAGAGAGAGAGAGAGAGAGAGAGAGAGAGAGAGGTGGGCGTGAAAACCGAGAAAATCAGAGAACACCTCGATGAATACCTGGATTGTACTTGGGAAGTTCTCTGTGTGATATATTTTCTCGATCGGACAGACAATATTGTGGTGAGAAAATCACGGGAAACTTGGAATTCCTACATTTTCTTTTGGAAAGCTAAGATTTTAAAAACGTGAGACTCTGGCTTTGGATAGCCCCGATTTCCCCTGCGAGATTTTTTCTTCCCCAACATAGATTTCGTTGATTTGAACCGTTTTTTTGGCTAAGAAATCTTATGTGGCCATAAAAACGCGGAGATTCTTGTTATCTTTCTCATGTTGGGTTTCCTTTATATAGTAAATCAGTTCTTGTCATTCTTCTCTAGTATATAGTTTTTTCAATGGCCGATAATGTATTAGTATTATTGCAGGTATATTGTATTACAGAACAAAATCATGTGTAGTGTAAAAAATGGGAGTGATGATCATGGTGGTGCGGAAGGAGGTGGGGGTTTGAGTCAGAAGTCTCAAAAACGACAAAGAGTTCCAAAGAGAGGCCCGGGAGTGGCGGAGCTTGAGAAGATCTTGAGAGAACAAGCTGATCAGAAGACTAGTCTTCTTAGTGATCATGTTCATCATGAGATGGTTGCTGATCAAGGATGTTTTAACCCTTCATGTTTTGATTTTCCCATGTCACGTCCTTTTTCCTATCATATGGACGTGCGTCATCATCAACTCCCTTCTATCAATCCGTCTTCTTGCGCCTCAAGTACTTTCTTTGGTGCTAGATCACATCATGATGCGGCGCAACCTATTACGCCAGTGCCTTCCAACTATAGCGGTGGAAGTAGTACGATCGGCGGTGGCGCGTTTTTGCCCGAACGGGCATTTTTTCCGGTCACGTGGATGGCTGATGAAGGAAAATCGGACGGCGGGATTTCGTTGCCAAGTAGTACTAGACCGGTTATTTCCAATGCTGGGATGAAAAAGAAACAATATTGTCACAACACAACTTCAATGGTAAGGAGAGGTGGGAAATTAATTATGAGTCTGTAAGTTATGTATATATAATTTATAATATATCTAGTTGAAAACATATAATTTTAATTACTTATTTCAGATGAATAATTTTCAGGGCTCTGCGTCTTCTTTGCCAAATATTTCATCTTCTGCTGGATTGTGTCACCAAATAGAGCCCCCTTCAAGCCAAAGATTGTGTCACAACTATCCATCAATTGGGCCATATGAAAAGGCATGCATGAGTGTTTTATTGCATTAATGCTATTAGTTCTGTTTATTGCCTTTTAGAAAGTCGTCACTCAATCTTAACTTCTTAAGCATCAAACGTTAAAGATTCTTGATAGTTGACTTATTATATGTTTTCAATTCATTGATTTTTGTAATGGAGTATTTCTTTTTATTATTCCAATTTATTTGTATTTTGCGTCTCTGTATAACACTTGATTTTCCACCAAGTTTAACATCAGTACATCACATTAACGCCTAAAATACCTGGCTGCTTCATTCGTTTTGAAACTTTAGTGAAAGAGTAGTGACCCAGATTAAAAAAAGATGCTATATCGCTATCACTATATCATAAAAGAGTGAAAGTGTGTTTCACTGTGCGTTTTGGTAGTCCAAAACGCACAGTTTTGGTAGTTTTTTTCCCCCTTTTCTTTTGATGGTTTTTGTCTTTTTGATTTTTTTTTTTAGCTTTTCGTGTTCTCATTTTTCTTTTTCTTTTCTTCCCTAAAATTTTATATTTTTCGTACTTACCCATCTTTTTTACTATTTTGTTTTCATTTATCTCAATTATTTTATTCCCCAAATATTATCCTACTTAGATATTTTTCCGGTAGTGCTCTAAAATATAATTATATTAAAAATTATTCTCACAAATTTCTTTCTAATTGTCCCACTAAAATAAATTTCTAAAAATATGCTCCTACTTAAATTGTTTTGACAGTCTTTTCCACCACTACTATTCTACGCATATAAAAAAGCAATTATGCTCTACTATTCCTTTTTTAATTGTCTAAAACGAGTCGTTTTGGCTCTTTTTTTTATTTGAAAATGCTTTTGGTTCTTTGTTAATTTCAACTTTTTTATTTATATTTTTGTTTCATTTTTTTTTTCTTTCCAACACGAAATAATATAAAAAAAAGCCGTCCAATGTTACCTTTTTTTTTTTTTTTCACTTTTTATCGTAATCTTAATGTTAAATCCAATCTTATTCAACTAGTAAATTCTAGATATATAAAAGAGTGAGGGAAAATTATACTGTTAATTTTTTGTAGTAATCTATGCACCATTTTAATTTTTTTTCCCTTTCTCTCTTTTCCTTTGCTTCTTTTATCTTTTCTTTAACTCTTTCTTTTTTTTTTTCCATAACACTTTTGGTTTTTTTTAAAACTCTTTTGTTTCATACTTTTGTTTTTCATGCGTGTTAAATCCTAATTCTAATCCTAAGTAGATAAAAGAGTAGATAGTTAGTTGTTGTTCATCCTACGGTAGTTAAAAACAGCGAGTTTTAGGTGTTTTATTTTTTCTTTCATTTTTAAGTTTTAACTTCTTTATTTTTTATTTTACTATTTCATAATTTATGTTCATCCTACGGTGATTCAAAATGGAAAATTTTTAGGTGTTTTACTTTTTCTCCTTTCATTTTTAAGTTTCAACTCATTTATTTATTTAGTTTTTACTTTGTTATCTTATATTTAGAATGTTTCATGTATTTGTATATTTAAACAAAACCTTTTCACTTAAACTGCTATTAACTTAGGCTTCTTTTAAAAAAGAAAAAATGATGTGTGGAGGATTCAAACTCTACATTTTATAATGAAGTTAGGTGTGCATTTTTCGTTAGGACAAACATACTACCATTTACTGTATACTCTCTTTTAAATTTTCATCTATTTTTTTTTTCTAATTATAGTTGTTTGTATCTTACATTATAAAAATTTTAATTATACCTAAATACGTGCATCATCGCACCTACCAAAACTAGTTATTAAGATACAAGAATACTAAAAAGAAATTATTTTCTTACTGACTAGCCATGTCAATTCTCTCTTTTCACCTAGATGTTAAGTTTTTTTTATTTATATTTTTATTTTTTATGCACAATTATTTTTTGCAGATAATCGGTGTGAAGCGGCCGCCACCACCTCCCTCGGTGGACAACCCTCTGACTAATTGCCACCATCAAGTCCCTGCTGTTCCACCTCAAAGGCACGGACCAGACCAGCCAACCTCCTTCAATCCAAATCTCACCAAGCCAATGCCCAGGTTTGGCTTAATTCATGATATTTTTGCATCCCAATAATTGCACAGTCTTCTAAAATTTTTAGTGATTTTTTGATCAAGTACTACCTCTTCTCAGGGATGCAAAATGGGATGTCCCTCCTTTGGAGTTCAAAGATTTGCAAAACTACAACACGGAATTATATGGAGCTCCTAACGGAAATTCCTTTAGATTTGTTCCCTGTGATGCTTCCGTTTTTCCGCCATTTCAAACTCTCCAACTACAATTCCCCAAGTTTGATCATACAATTCCATTTCAGGTAAGATATAACTTGCACAAAAAAACCTCCATTCTCTTTAGGTTCTTGTGGTTTTAAACGAATTAAGAAGAAAAATACTTAGACACAGTCGGTGTTAAACGCCATCACTAATTGTGGGCCCACAAGAATGGGTCGGTGCCTATTGCATTGCTCAATTAGGAATGTTAATTTTTGATGTTGGTTTCTCTTTTCAATTTTTGGGGCGCATTTGATGCAATGAACTGAAGGGAGGCATAAAGGAAACAAACCAAAGGCCAATAGTAGATGGACCAGATCGAAACAAGCCCTTCTATAGCTTCTTACCATCAAAGGAGCAGGCGAAAGAAACGTCGCATGGCTTGAACATTGAGAGAGGAGAAAAAGATGGAAAAGATGACATTGATCTCAACCTAAAGCTCTCTACTAGGTAGAATAATGAAGATTTTAGTCCTCGTGAATTGAAGAGCTAATTGACTAATTTCCGCGTTTCTTCAACAAATTTGGCTCCTAATTGTCGCGGTTCTTGAATTCAGATGATACAAAGTTTTAGATGAGGTAGAATGGAGACGAGAATCAGTTAACCCCAGTGACTTTAGAACAGATTTTAGCTTATTAGAGCAGTTGTTTGCTTGTTATAGATGTAACTTGGTTGTTTATAAATTTCCATAAATGAAGATACATGTAGCATGTAGGATATAGTGCACATATTTCTGTACCAAACTTTTCACATATTGATAAAACTTACTTATAAAGAAATCAATATGCAAACCCAATTCTGAATGAATCATTTTTTATACAGAAGATCATGCAGCTGGACTTGCTAAAGTACAAATTATTGTTTCTGTTTTTTATTTTATTTTTATTTTTAACTAAATTCTTAGAGATGGATTACTAAGAACTCATTGCTGGCCTACGACCACCCAAGAACAGAAGTAAGAAGATAAAGAGACAGAAGTGATATGGGGTAGAGAAGAAACGCTACAATACTTGTCCAAACTGGGAATTTGGTACTAAAGCTGGTATAAAGGCCCATGAGTGTGCAAATAATAAGAACAACCAAAACTTCAGCAGAGACATCCCACGACACATTCCGAATGTAAACAAGCGCCAAGAATCCGACCAAACCCATCAAGTTGTTCATGAATATCCGATTATAAATCTGCACACAATAATCCAAGTCTCAGTTAAGAATCTAATTCCTTTATTTACTTGTTTACTCTTTCTTTCTTTTCTTTTTTTTTTTTTTTCCCTATAAGAGATATGACAAATTTGCATGCAAACCAGACTCAACGCGACATCAAAATTTTGATTAGTTCGAACTTTACGTAGAGAAGATGTATGTCTAATATATAGATTATACCATGAATAGGTCAATAACACATATATATTATTATCATTAAATAGCTCACATAGTTGTCATGCTTTTATTCGTAGTTAAGATTAGAATTACTTGTTATTTAATTTAATTTTATGCACATGTAATGCAAGGGATTCCAAATTTTATCTCAACCTTTTAATGGCAACTGAGGTGAGATGCAGTTATATATTTTTCTTTTATAATTAGTACGTGCTTAAAAACTTGTCACGTCAATTAATACTGTAAAATTACTTTTAAGCATTATGAAAAGATGGCAACTTACCGTTTACTATTGAAAAGTTGGGATTCCTAATATTACGTGCACAAACATCATTAGCTAATCAAGTAGATCAAGAAATTGATTAAGATACAAACCTCGGACAACATTAAGGAGATGGCCTTCTCCGTCTTCTCTCTGGCGGAAGAAATGGCGCGGACAGCCTGTCCGAAGTTGAGAGCCAAAGGAATGACAACATAGGAGATCAAGAACGAAGGAACATTTGCAGCAAAAGAGAACTGCACAAGAGTCCCCACGAGGGGTTGTCCGAGCGTTAATGTAATGGCAGTTCCAAGAATTATAAGAAGACCAGCTTTAACGTAATTCAACCAATCTTTACGTCCATCATTTGCAGCGCTCTGAGTAGCCACGTTCTTAGCTATGAGGCTTTGCTGTTCTTCTGTTGTAGTTTTCTGAAATACGCAGTTCAATAATATGATCGCTAAGCTAATTACTGCATTTACGCTTAACCGGCATTTGAACAACAGATTAATGCCAGATAGTACAAATACCATTGCATTATTCATATTTAAGAGTTTTATAGCCGAGATTAAAATATTTTCTGTCGCGCTTTTGAAAGGAATACTTAAATATGAGAGGGAAAAAAAAAACTAAAAAAGCCTAGATCCTAGAAATAACTATGAAAAAATAAATTTTATGTTTTGCATAATCAAAACGCATCACTTCATTTAATCTATAAAAGCATTTTCGGGATATTAAGAGCTACCAAACTGGCCCTATGGAAGTTAGATTTGTGATTATTAGCGATAAAATTACTCTTGTAGTACTTGTTTCCAGAGTTTTTGTTGATTTTATGTACCGCTGAATTTCTTCGAAAAATGCCATGATGAGGGTGCGAAATAGAGTCCCTAGCAACAATGAGCCAGTTGGAGAGTCCGGTGACGAACTCTTGCTCGTTTATTTGATGATCTTGAGAGGTGTCAAATTGTTCCATGACCCTGGCAACTAAATCATCCTGACGCAATCCCGATTCTTCTATCTGTATTCCTACGATCAATGATCTTAGTTCGGAATTCGATATGTATGAATTTCCATTCTGGTCAATCCTATGAAATATCCTGCAAACGCGCTCAGACATGCCAAAAATTATGACTACTCTTACCAATCCTAGTACTTGATATTGCGCGAGAATTAGACCAATTGGACTTACTCCCTTATAACAGGTATGTTAGGCCTGCGACCGGCGGTGAGGAGATTTTGCAGTAGGTTTCTCCTAATGTATTTTCGCAGCACGAATTCGAGCCTCCTGTTCTGAATCCATGGCTGAAATATCTGCAGAAGAATTTCTGAATGGTGAAAAATTATGTGAAAAACGTTATTAATGTATGTATCCCATGTTTCAAGTTTTACAATGCTGCCTATAGTGGTAAGTTTTATATATATGCATTTATATTACCTGATAAATGAAGTAAGCAAGGACCAATCCAATAGTAACGATAAGTGAAACTAACACTACGACATGTATCCCAGAAGGTGAGTTGATAATTTTTGCCAATTGGAGAATGAGGAACGGGATAAGTGAAATTAGCATGATTCTTGCAGTTTTGCTGGTTTCAACGTCAAATGTCACACCATAACCTGCATTACTCATACAAAGTAGTACTCTTAATACTTGTGATTTTTTTAATTTTTTTTTGGTCGCGTACATTTTATTAAGGGTGCGTTTGGTACGAGGATTTAAACCAAGGTGATTCTCATCATGATTTTAGAACTAGAACCGTGATTCATGATTTTGGGTTCAAATCATGATTCTGAAACAATGATTCAAAATCAGGGATTTGAATCACCTTGAATCAAGAGAATGGGTGGTTTTAAAATCATGATTTGAGCAGTTTAAAACATCACATCAGATTCTGAATTATGATTCAGAATCATCCAAACTAAACACTGATTCTGAATCACAGTTCAGAATCACTGTAAATAAACACTGATTCTGAACCAAGATTCAGAATCATGATTCTCAATCTATCTATCAAATGCACACTAATAGATTACAAAGTAGTACGATTCAACCCAATAGAATTATGGTCCCATCAGACACAAACGGGTTGGATCCACTTATAGGATCCACATGGACCCAACCAATTTGCATGAAAAGTTTAACCCGATAGGGTTATAGTCTCAAGTTGGTAGGGTCCACTAGTGGGTCCCACATGGACTCTACCAATTTGTGTCCGGTGGGGCCATAGCCCCGGGCTATACCACATTTTCTAGATTACATGGTATACAGGTAATATCAACCACTTAAAGTGAAGGGCTTTTCATCTTGTTCCAGATCGGATGATGTACTAGTTGCCGGCAGTGAAAGGTCATGGCTGCCTAAAACCACAACCAAGCCCCATATAAGTGTGAGGGACATAATTGTTTTTCCCGCAAGTAGGCCCATGCTAATTTCTGCCTGCTCGTCTACGGAATCTGGACTTGCAATAATTCCGGTCACTGCTCAAAAAAAAAAAAAAAACAAAGAAAGAAGTCGATATGCATGCTTATGATAAAGTGCTCTTAAAAATTAAAGAGCGAGTAAGATTAATATGTTGTTACAACAACAATGATGCAGACAGATGTAACCAGGTAACATTTGATATGTCCACGTTGAAGGAATAAAATTGGTCTGGACAGTTTGACTACTATAGAATCATGATAAAAACTTTAAAAATTGCTAGCGGGCACTACTATATTGGTGTTATGTACCGTTTTTAATAAAAGGTGAATCTTATCTGTAAATATTATATTGCGGGATACAAATTCTATTCATGTGTAGTGTATGACAATAACATCACTGATAGGAAAAGAAAAAGAAAAATGCTTTTTACCCGATGGGGATCATAGGATTTCTCAAAGGAGAAAAAAAGAAAAATTAATGCTAAAGTGACGCCCCATAATTAATAATATTCACATCAACTGCCGTGAAGTGGCCCCACGTTTTGGGTTTTTTTTTTTTTGTTTGAGGGAGGTACCCTATAATTATTAGTCAAAAGTTGACGGGAAAATGTTTTTTTTTTTAAAAAAAAAAATCCTTAAAGGCTTAAAATTTGATTTCAATGATGCGTTTACACTCGAAATTGATAAAAACAAAAATAAAATTCAAAATTGATGTAGAAATATCATTTTGATTATAATTAAGTAAAGGGACCCTTTTGATAGTCGTCCTTTAATCTAGATTATCTTTTTTTTAGACTAGTCGCATGATTCATTTAAAACAATGGGTGTCAAATTATTTTTGAGAAGAAGAAGAAGAAAAAGAATATAAAAGAAAGAAAGATGCAAGAAAAAGATACGAAGTAGGTAGCATATAAAAAATTTAGTGCAAAATGACATAAAATGGACAAAATTAAATTACAAATCAGTTTAAATAATAAATAAATATAATTAAAAAAAAAAGAGAACTTGATTTTTTTTGGGCGGTCTCACTTGTGGACAGAAGCACGCCCAGAAACAGGTGACTCAAACACCTGCATCATGTGGGGCTTGCATTTCTATTTGATTTGACTCGAAAAAAGCTCGAGATGCGACATAAGTGATGGAGCTTTAATTATAAAAAATTTTTAGGGGTCTGTTATGGTAACGGAGGGATCGTGGGCCCGTCCCTTTTCCCTTTATCGAATCAGGCTTTGACACGTGGCCACTATGTCAGCCACTTATGGGGCTGTGTGGGATTTGGCGGTCTGGGCTTACTGAGCTTTTATTTTGTACCTAGTAGTTTTTTGACACGTGGTGCCCTTTTGATTTCTTTTTTTACCTGTCGGAGCCCACATTTTGACCACCCAATAACCTTTCGACGCGTGGCAAGTTTACTGAATACGTTCCCACCTGATTATATCCTCCTCTCTGCCAAAAAAAAGCCAACGTGGCCCCTTGTGGGGTGAGAAACGGCCGAAACGTTTCGTCGCTCCCCCCTAAACACGTTTTCTTCTTTAGTAAATGTAAAAGATTAATCCCACTAGCATTCTTGAATTTTAAGATTATTTTCACTTTAATCTTAAATTTTAAAAACTCTCACTTAACTCGTTAAATTTTTAATTTGTCCCATTTAAGCATTTTTATAAGAATTTTTATTAAAGTCAGATAAAAAAATGTGATTTTTAGCTGTTTGTTTTTAACAGAAATTCAAACAGAAAAATTATGTGGTTTCATTACTCTCTTTTTTCTATTTATTTTTAACAAAAATTACAAAAAATAGGTTAAGTGAGAACAATTCAAAAGTAAAAAATAAAGTGAGAATTTTTAAATTTCAAATGATAAACTGAAAAGATAAAAATTTAGGACACCAATGATAATAATCTTTTTTTTGGGTAGAAGTTTACTTTAGATTATCAACTGCAGGTTCATATTCATTCAACAATTAATGGTTTAGATTAAAACACGATAAAGATAGAAGGCAAAGACATTATTGGGTTTTTGATAGTTTTAAAATTAACGAGTTAGAGTTAAAAAAAAAAAAAATTCCTTTAAACATTTTCAATTGAGTAGGTGTAACTATAATATTGACAAGATTTGAACAGTATTATTATTAAGTTTCATGAAAGTACCAAATAGCTAAAGCCTGAATTAATATATAGTCATTTAAAAAAATAATGATAATATTAATATACAGAGGTGAATCTAATGGCCGTCATGTGCATAATATTTTTTAGGGTTTTTTTTTCCATTTTTTTATTTATAGTGTTTTCTGTCTTGTTTGAAAGTTCTATTACTTTCTTTTCGGTTTATTGGTGGCGTCCACTTATGGTTTAGAATAAAGCGGCCGATATCACCAAATCTTGTCAACTTGTGGGATCTATCTGAATGTCAAACAGAGTTGTTAACTTTTTTTTTTTTTTTAAATTTTAAGAAGAGAGTTGTTAATTATTTGTATATGAATGAAACACGAAGGATGCCATTCTAGATCGTTAAATTTTTAACGGAAAAAGAGACAAATACTCTTAGAGTTATGAGTTTAGTTTTTTACTTTTTATTATTGATTAATATCTTTTTTAATTAAATAATTGTATTAATTAAAAAAGTATTAATCAAAAATATAAAAATTAAGAATAAGTTCAGTTGAGAAGAAAAGATTTTTTTGAAAAACACATTATCCACGTATTGATATTGCAGAGCCACAAAAAGTCAATAAGACGGACTTGTTCTTTTTTATAACTTGAGTTATGTGTGTGAGAACTGTAGTAAAAAAATTAAATTTAAATTTTTGTGATAGAAAATACTGCAACAATATGATTTGAGTAATTAGATGAACATACCTAAAATTAGAAATAAGAAAGCAATCATGATATCATAGAGCCACAAATAATCCAAATTACAAAAATATGGAAGAAGATAAAAATAAACTCTAGTCATTAAAAGAGGTTATTTGAGTCTCAAGAAAAGTGAGCTTACCAAGGATTATTCCCACCTGTGGGATTGTGCCAAGCAATTGGAAAATACTAGCCCCAAAGAGACCTGTTCCGAACGTTTCAAAGAAGAGGTCTGATCCAGCTGAAATATATTGCCCTCCATACGACAGCAAAACCTCGTAAACGACAATCATAAAAAGCAGACCCCAGAAAGTGGTTGCGCAAGGCAAGAAGCCATAGATGGGCACACAAGTCACCGTCGTCGCTTTAAGGTTAACCAGGCCAAGCTTTGTAGATCCACCAGTTTCGTCTTTAACAGTGTCGGACATGGTTAGAACTTGGCTATGACGACCATTTGCCAAATGGAGTATGGTTGAGAAGAATAAGAGAATATTGATGAACAAAGCTCTTGTAATTAGTCTCATTCTCTTTAGTCTTGTGGGGATATGAAATTGAACTCGGATTTGGTACAAAGATACAACGAGAAAGGACTAGTTGACACAAGATATAATATGTGCACGTTGATTTCTCTTCTATTTCAGGCCAAACACAACCCAAAACTCCACTCCTACGCGTGGGGACTATATATATAATGGCAAGAATTTTGATGAATAGACACAAACGATTGTAGTCCCTCGACAATGACTCTGTATATTTATATTTATATGTCTATGTGCATATAATATATAATCTTTCATGTATAAATAAATTAAAAATAGTATCGACTTTCTTAGGTGTCCCAGTAATGCAGCTTTTGATGTCTATATATTAGAACGAGAAATACTAAAAAAAAAAGTGATAGCTATCATTTTTCATAATGGAACACATGCTAAATTGTATGCAAGTTGGCCCAACAGTCCAATCCGGTGGTCGAAGGGATGATAGCGTAAGCAAATATGCAAGGAGTAATAAATGACGTGAAGAGTTAGGATTTTCTTTTTAGGATAATGATGATCCTATTATGTGGTAGGAAAATCAGCATTTGAGAGAGGTCAAATGCAACTCGGTAAAACTTTAACCTATGGCGCAGCCACCTCGAATGAAATGTTGACGTTGACTAGTCTAATAGAAAAATAAGGAGCATAAGATTTTAGGACTTGTCGACAATTCTTTAGGATAACAACTGTACTTCCGTGTAATATCAATATAACACTGATGTTGCAGTCTTATAGAGGAGAGATAAATAGTTTGAAAACTATAATTCTTGGCGTTATTTCATTTTAATCGTGAGTATTATGTTAAGAAAAATCATGTTTACATTTCTCTTTATAAATGTAATGTTTAAGTACGGTTCTTCTAAAAAAAACAATAGCAAAACATAAGATTATATTAATTGTTTTGTTGCGTCGATAAAGCAAAACCATAAAGGGGTAATACCCAAAACACCTTATGTATTTTATTAAAATACTATTTTCATCTTTCTTATTATGCAAATGCCTAAAACACCCTCCTGTGTTTTTAAAAGCAGATAACTAAGGGGTTGTTCTTTTACAACAAAACTCAGAAAAAGTTTAAACTCAAGTTACAACTTTATTCAAGTTCACGTTCTTTTAAGTTTCAACTTTATTCAACTTTACTCAACTTTATTCAAGTTACAACTTCAACTCAAGGTATATCTCAAATTCAACTAAAAAACTATACTCAAGTTACACTCCAAAAGAACAACCCTTAAATTTTTTAAAATATCAATATTACCCTTCCCAATCTTTATTAAAACTATTTAAAACATTATTAAACCAAAATATTAAATAAAATCAATCTTAAAAAAATAAAAAACTCTGAAAATAATTGAAGTATTCCTATAATTGAATATTTATTTGAGCATTTTTTAATTTACCTTTGTAGTTAAATTATATATAAAATAACATTTAATATAGTTTAGAAAGAGTAATCATGTCATTTTTCAATATTTAATTACTTCAGGGAGTATTTTAGATATGTTTTTAAAAATAGGGCTTTTTAAGCATTTGCATAATAAAAAATGGCAAAAGTAGTCTTTTGACAAAGCATGTGCTCTTCCAAAACTGATTTTTTTTTTTTTTTTTTGAAGGATACACATAAAGACACGCAGCAATCCAGCTGGTTCGTACAAGCGAAGGGCGTCGAGATAATACACTTTTTAGCAGTCGACTTCAGTCACACGCCAAAATGCATTTGCTATAGTTGGTACATTTTCTAGATTAAGAAGCTTGTTCACCATCACGCCTTTAGGAAGTAATGGTTGCAATGTCGTTTCACCTGGTTGTTATTACTGCTTCAAAAATACAGGGAGAACAGAGTAGAGTACCAAAAATATATCACTGCAAATATTTTAATTATAATATGATTTCTGAACAACCCTAAAATCATATGGGGCGTCATGGTAACAGGTAAGGAATCGGAAGCAGTCTTGAGATCAAAAGAAAATGGAATACCTTTTAAGACCATAAGATTTAAAGTAAAAAATGTCGACCCACATCAATCCATTTCTCTTCTACCTAATTACATCCCGTTTGTTTGTTTCAATCCAAAAGGGTCATTTCTTTTAATTGGCTAAACTAACCCAGCAGAGCCACTTGCGATATATATATAAGTACCCAAAGAATAATAATACAAACTATTTTTTTGGGGTATGAAAAGGTTATCAATACCTGCTAGTAGGACTTGTTTCTGTTTGTTTTCATTTTGATGTAATTTTGACTATATCTAACATCCATAAACATACAATACCGGTGTATAGATAAGAAACATTCTGTTTATGAACATAAGAATATCCGGCACGCATCGGCAATGCCATCATTCTAGAACAGAAAAATATCCCAGCCCCTAAACTCTGTTATGTTCTTTCCTAATCAAAGCTCCCTATCAACTAATCCTTTTTGCTAATAAACTCTATCAACTAATTCATACCCCAATTAATGAACTTCAAAACCATTTGATGCAAAACGAACCCAAACTCTAACGCTCGTGCTTAATTTTTTAGGGATCCACCAACCCAAGTCCCAACTGGATTAGGAAAAATGTATATCTGGCGGGGCAGGGCAGCGTAGGCTGTGTTCCGCAATAAGACTTGAGATGAATCTGAAGGCAGAGTTAGTGAAGCATTGAAGTGGGACGCTGGTGCTGGTAAAAATGTGGGGCAACCTCTGTTAGCCAAGATGGGTCGATGGAAATCACATTCCTCATGTATTGTCTGTCAGTTGATACAAGCGAATGGTATATTACCCACTTGGGATTAACTCTGGAACACAGAAAAAGAATCGACTCAGATCAATCATTTCATCACAAAACCAAGAAATAGCTATAAGGTTGTAACTTCTCCGAGAAACAAATTCTCTCTCTGAACTAACCTGAACAACACGGATGAAGGGTGAATGTAGACTTCTTGAGAACCTCTTATGGTCTTGTACTTCCCACTGTGGCTGTATGCCTATAGAGAAGTTGATGGACATAAATTATTCAGCGCGTTAGCTAAAGAAAAGGGGGAAAAAGGAAAAGAAAGAAGATGATAAAAGTCGATGCTTAAAAAATAAAAAAATAAAAATCAACAGTTAGATCATGTTTACGCAACTGCAGATTATGACAGAATCACTCACTTCTAAATGACACGCATTTGCAAAAAACCCAGTAGTAATTGCCTTTCTCACTGCCTGCAAGAGTTAATGAGTAGTTAAACAGTGAGCATTTCATTTGCTGTAAGATGTAGCAAATGATAAATATGCAACACGGGTCATGATATGAACTGTTAGAGAGAGAGAGAGATATACAAAATATGAACATCCTACAGGAAAATTGTATCAGAGAATAATCTGCCTTATCTGTTTTGTAATAATATGTTAAGCTAAGATTAATTATCTTATAAACAGAACACCTACACAGCTACTTAAACTGGACAGTCATGTCCCCTTGACCTCGTTTATGTAAATAGTGAATGTGCGGTAGAATTTACCAGCATATCTCCTTCACAGGATTTTAAGGAAATGCCTATTCTCTGTGCCGTTCTTCTGAGTTGATCTCGAATTTCAATTACTTTTTTCTGCAAGGCGCAAGCCAATCAAAGATGACAAAGTTAAAGGAAGAGGGAGCAAGAGGATGGGAGGGAAGAATATGTACACACAGACCCCAATAAAATGCACAGGATGGAAGCATCTTAAAAGAAGCTTACAGAACAAATTTTCATTTTTCATGACAAAATGAAGAAAGAGCAAAATGAAAACGTGTCAAAGATTCCCAAGATAGAAGCGCACCATGGCATGATAGTTCACAAAGTTCTTATGACACCACTGTGAAGATTTACCAGACTGGAAAAATCCTTTATAAACATTCAGGAAGGTCACATGGTCACCCTGCTCGCCATAACAAAAAAGTTTCAAAGTCAACCAAACTGATGCAAAAGCATTTCAATAGTTGTTTATGTCCTATAGTCATTTGGGATTTTGAATAGAGTTGTGTCGTTTTGGTGTATTTCTATTTGTTGCTATGTGGTTGTAATGTCATTTTGACTTATTAGCTTTATGTACTAAGCTACATGTCGCTTTGGTGATTGGTTATTTTCCCTAATGCCTTAAAAGGCGAGGTCTGTAGGAAGATTAGCAGTTTTTGATCATCTGAGTAGACATTAGAGAGATCTTTCTCTTGTTCCTTTGTTTTAGGTGGATTTAGAACCTCAATTCCTTGCTCTGTCCGGGTTAGGCCGATAAAATCTATCCCCAAAAGGCTTTTTACGTCACAAACTAACAGGGATAAGAACAAGAGTATTACTTATCCACCCTGGAAAAAAAGTAAAAACAATCATATGGAAAAAAAAAAAAGAAAAACAAATAGTACCTCAGCAGTAGCAAATCTCAACTTTGCCTCATCCAGTTCCTTTTGAGCTCCCCTTCCAGAAACCCATATAGACTGCAGAATATCACCATACTTATTAACAGTGTCCAAGGGAACATTATGGCTATATTTTATTTGACGCTCATATATTTGTACCATATTCTACTCGTTTGCTATACTTCTTTTTCCTTGTTCTAAGATGTAGCAGGTTCTTTTCCGTGGGAAAATAAACCTAAGAATTAATTGAACGGGGACTTACTTGAATGGAGAGAATGGCAGCGATAGTTATTATCTCCTCTGAACATCCAAGTTGACTTGAGGACAAGATCATTTTTGAAATCATAGGATCCTAAAAATATTGCAATCAAACATGAGTAAAATTATAGAATCATAATGTAGAACCATAGAGAGATAAAAGCAAATTCTTAAGACTTATAGAACAGGAATAACAACACCGACTTGGGCCATAGAAACGGGTTAAGAATATGTAAAGAGAATAAAGTTTAACATACTAATGGAATCTCTGCAACTTGGAATCCAGCCGGAGAAGTAAGTTTGGCATCATCGTCCAGGACTCCGAGTGAATAAAGTACTTCAAGTGCCCGAACCATGGCTTCAGGTGATGGAGATGCTGGCCAATCAAAGCCCAAGATATTATCTATTCCCAAGGCTTTTAACTGAGAAGTGGAAGAGCAAGATCAAAGTCAATAAATCATTAGAGTACAATTTTCCAAAAGTGACAATGCATTGTGGAGTCAAAAAGGTGTAGTAAGGACACGTTATACTATTTGAAAGAAGGAACTCTAGTCAATTTATAGTCTCTAACAAAACTCTAACTCCTAACTTAAAACACCAATAAAGTCAATTTTGCAGCTAAAGCAATCTTTCATACATCATGTTCACTTGCAAATGATGATTAGCACCATGAAATGAGAAAATACATCTGGGATGTAACTTTTTTAAGAAGCTAGTACTCTTTCAGATATGCTAGTGCTACATACAATCAATCAGTTTCACACCATTATGACATAATGGCATACCTGAATGACGCAGGAAACAAGATTAGATCGTTGGATCTCTGGAATCCCCTCTGTGGCCATTTCATTGATAAAATACTCTTCTGTGTATAGCCTTGTTGCACCCACAAACAAATATTTCAAGGTAAAGCCATAATTTCTGGAATATGCTTTGAAAGAGAGAAGCATGGATTTACATGTAAATGTAAATCACCTAACTTGATAAGTATCAGGGTTTTAGGTACAAGTAAATTATATAACTAAAAAGTAGATACTAATTAGAAGGTTTTAGTGGGTCAAAAATTCTACATCTAAATATGCAAGGGAAAGTGCATTGGAAATAGCAATTATAGATATTGGAGCAGTAGAGCACAATAAAGTTATAACTAGTCGGAAAACGATGGGAAGGTACAGGCACAAGTATAATAGCATCCTGAGAACGATGGCAAGGTACAGGTGCACAAGTATAACCAGAAGCAACACGACATGTTAACAAAACAATATTTCATGTTCGTGATTGGTTCCTGACACAGTTCGCAGTCTTAAATTAATTAAAATTAACGATATTCTTATGCCATAAAAAAATCATTCAATGACACAGCAACTCCAGTCACACACCTGTAACATTTCCCTGGGCGAATTCTTCCTGCCCTACCAGCTCTTTGCCTAGCAGAAGCCTTCGATATTGGTGCCACTACGAGATTTTCAATATCCGATATCTAGAGCAAAAACAGTTCAATCAATTTCAAAAACCACAAATATAAGAAATTCATTAGTTCAAGACTTCAATCAGTTAGAGCTTTAACATATATCTTTAGTCCATACTAACAAGGTTAATCCCTAAGTTATTAATTGATAAGTTACATAAAAAAGGAAATAAAAAAAAGTGTCGAAAATGACAATAAGAGAAACAGCTAGAGCATACACTGCATGGTAAATCTCCATTTATCTGTACATATGATGACGACAATGCAACACTCATAATGGAAGTAACGTCTTTTCAAAAAAAAATTAATTGTAAAATAAAGCAACGGAAAGGATGTGATGAAGATCATAATATTAATTTGTCTTAATATTTGGTTTATTTTAATTAGTGATTTATGTTATTAGGGTAGTTTCTCATTATAGAATCTCCCTATTTTATTTTGGTTTAGTAGTTTGTTTCGTTATTTGGTTTTCCTACAAACATGGTAGTTTGAAAATCTCCATTCAGAGAATGATTAAAATACATGAAACTTGATATTATTGGCTTTCCTTCTACTCTTGAGTTCTTGTTCTCTCTCTAAATCCTCTGTCTCCATAGGTTTTATTTCTCTACTTTAGTTCTATTCTGATAGAGACAAGTAACAATTGAGGCAAAATCCCACCCCACCTATTACACATCACCGAGTCCCACTCTCAAACACGTGCCTTGGCATGCCTTGCATAAGTGAACCGTACAGGGGGCTTACCATATTCTTCTATTCCCTAGATTCTATCTTTTCTATCTTGGTCCTATATCAATATGCTGACACATATTAGAACAAGGAAGAAAGAATTTTAGACAAAAGTGCATGCAAATACGACACAAAAGGCAGGAAAATCAAAATCCGATAACTACCAGCAAACTGATGGGCCCGTTTGGCAGTGTTTTCAAAATGGTTTTGTTTTGAGTATCAAAATGAAAATGAGAATTTTTTGTGAATGGTGTTGGGACTGTTTCTAAAATTTCATTTAGTTATACTTCTTAAGATTTTTTAGATAAGAAAAAAATGAAATTGTATTTAGGTATGTTTTTGAAAATGTTTATTTACGTTATAGTTTTAGAAAATGAAAACAACTTTCTACCATTTTCTATTTCTTTAACAAAAACCATTCTCAATATTTTTTGTCTTCATTTTCGGTTTCAAAGCATTTGATGACCAAACGCGGTTTAGAGACTGATTTCGTTTTCACGTCTCAAAAAACATGCATAAACGTTTTCAAAAACAAATGAAAATGATACCAAATGCACCCAATGTTATTGCAGTATGTTACATTTTTTTAATTCCTTTTCATAGGAGTACATTTTTAATTTTTAAACATACAAAAGAAACAAAAAAATTGTTAATGGACATACAGGATCGTAGACCCGTTGCTTTGAAAAGCCACTATCAACAACATAGACAATTCCCTGCATAGAACAGAGGAATTACAGCATATGATGATGCACTATTCCGCCACCAAGTACAATTAATTAAGTCTTACGAATATCCATTGAAATGCAGACGTGTGCAATACCTCCAAAGTTAAGGACGTCTCTGCAACATTTGTTGATATCACTACTTTCCTCTTCCCTCTAGGAGTGGAAGTAAACACAAGCTCCTAGAAGCAGAAAGGCAGATTCTTAAGTTCCTCTGAAATAAACACCCGTGAGATACAACAAAACGCATAACTTACCTGCTCAGCACGTGGAAGACCAGAGTAGAGAGGCAAAGTAAGCAATCCTGAAAAAGAATATGAGATATACAAATCTCAGACACATTTGGCATAACCTTGCATCTGATGCTTCAAAATAACACTCCAACTACAAAGACCAGCACAAAACTTTTCTAATCTTTTCGTAACAAATTGGATAAAAGTGAATAAATGAAACAACAACAATAAAGAGCTGAAACTCAGTAGAATACTACGTTCCTTGTACCTGAAGAGTTTCTCCCACGGCTTTGAATTTCTTCATTAAGCATTTGTACGACAGCATCAATATCATCTTGTCCAGTAAGAAACACCAAAATATCTCCCATTGGTTCCTAAGCAACAAGGTTTTAAAAAATTCACACCACTAGCAGAAAATTGTCATGTTTTGGCTCCAATTTGTATGCACGGTACAAAAATGAAAACATGCCATAGAATGAAAGTAAGATCCTAATGGAAGGAAAAACCATACAGCATCTCCAAACTTTGAATTAGGGTACCTTATCATGAATGGACAATACTGTTGAAACAGCAGCCTGAACATAGTTGGATACAGGCTCTTCCATGTAATGAATTTGTACATTAAACCCTCTACCCTGCAAGAAAAGCAGATATCGTTATGTTCAATTTATTTACAACTGACTAACATCACAATATAGCCTTAAAACTTCCTCAACAAAACAAGGTTATTTGAAGTGTAATTGAGTATGGGAAATAGAGAGAGAGAGAGAAGAGGTCATTGTTCCAGTAAGTCATACCTCAACCGATAGGATTGCAGGATCCATCCTTGGTCCTTGGACACCACCTTCCGTTTCCCGGCGCTTTTTGCTGTTTTAGAAGGAAAGCAAGGTACAGCAAGATACATGTATTAGTATTCCACTATGCATGCTTGTAAATCTAGCTTAAGCATTTGGCCCCAAACAAAAAAATGAAGACATAGCCTAAATTCAAAAATTGATAGCATTCAATCCCTTAGAGTTTATCTACGGTCCATTAAACAACTATGGAAAATATATACCGGTAAACACTCATTTCAACGGGTAGAACAGCTGATCAACAAAAATCATGCAATAGACTAAATAAGGGCAAAAAGAAGTAAAACGTAATTCAAAATGAATGCAACTCCAAGCATTTGAGTAATATTTTCCTAATATCCATAAAAACAGCAAATGCAAAAGGTCATAAATAGACTTCTTTTGAAGGATTAATGATGAAGTGCTGGTTAATACCCACAAGAACCAAGTCAAAGAAAGAAATCCGAGTGTGATAAAATACTCGGAACAAACCTGGTGTTGAAAAAATCAGACATGGACTTTGCTTCAATTGTGGCAGAGGAGATTATCAAACGTAACTCAGGTCGACGTCGTTGGATCTGTAATTTAGGATTTAGGATTATATGAAACAGGATGAACCCCAAAACTAAAGTAAATATTTCCAGATGTTTGTTTTCGTTTCTTAAGCAATCAATGAAATGTCCTTACGTAAAATACCTTTTTCAAGAGACCTAGTAAAATATCAGTTGAGATAGATCTTTCATGAGCCTCATCTACCATTATGACGCTGAGACAGTCACATTAGAATGCAAGTTAAAACTATAAATAAATTAAAAAAAAGAAAGAAAAAAAGATTTCCTCCCACAATAAATGGGCAATCTCGATATGAAAAGAACTGGATGTATATATTATATACTTTAGAAAGAGGAAAGCAGCAAAAGCATACACAAAATTGAAAAATACCTATACTTAGTCAAGAGAGGATCATCCATCATTTCCCTAAGTAAAGCCCCATCCGTGAGAACCTTTATCATAGTTACACCCTGTGCTGCCAAAACACCTATTATTCATTAATCGTGATATTGAATTACTAGTTACAACCATGATAACTAATTTTCAAGACTAATGTTTATTGATAAAACATAAATAAATAAAATGTCTAACATTTTTGGTGATATCTTCAAATCTTATTGTGTAGCCAACTTCCTCTCCAAGCTTGACCCCCATTTCTTCAGCCACTCTTGAAGCAACTGCCTAAATATCACAAACTCTAAGCATTTGTGAGAAAATGAAACAAAATTTCATAGGGCTCTTTACACACATAGCAAAATTTAAATACGAAGGTTGAAATGTAGCAAAATTTTTGAAATTTTATAAACAATAACAAAAATTGATATTATTAAAGTAATGACTACGTAATTATATGGTACAATATCATTATGATAATTACTATGTAATTTTTTGTCATTTTTATAATACATTGAAAACTTTGCAAAGTTTCAATTCAAATTTCAAGGTATGAAACTATGCCATATAGGGTAATTAAAAAAAGGTAAAATCTTCAACTCATGAAAATGGCGTAGAAAGCAATAATCACCTGAACAGCCAATCTTCTTGGTTGTGTGCAAGCTATAACACGCCCACCATCAGCCCAACCTGCTTCTTTGAGGTACTGCAGTTTCAGAAGCCAAAATAACAAACATTTGAAATTATTACTGAAAGGGGTCACTAACATTTCTTCGATATTCTCATGCATCAAAAAACAAACAAACCTGAGGAATCTGAGTGGTTTTGCCACTGCCCGTTTCGCCAACAACAATGGTGGTGGAATGGGTCTCCACCAAATAAAGAATGGCGGTGCGGTACTTGTACACGGGAAGCCTCTGTCTCAGCCTCTCGATACTCGAATACCCAAATCTGCCACCACAACCACAATAGAAATCAATAACTGTAAGACAACAAGAATGAAAGTGGAAATTGAATCAGAAGAAGAAAGATACCCAGAGGAAGAAGAGTGAGAAGAAGAGAAGAAGAGAAGACCACCCTCCTCGTCGTCGAGAAGGCGCGGTTTCTCGGTGCCTGGCTTCCAAAACTGGGGCATTGCTTTCTTTTTCGTTGCTTTCGTTTCGTTTCTCCGCAGCTTCTTCTTCTTGCTTGCTGCTTTTACTTTATTTCTTCTGCGTTCGGTTCGTTTTCTTTGGATTGTTTAAGATGGAAATTGGAGCCAATTGGCCACTCCTTTGCCTCCTCTTAAATCCCAAAACCCGTTTGTAAATTAGGAGGCGGGTCCTCCCTCAGGGGAATGAATAGCACTTCTATTCGGATCGGATCGGATGCCAATACGGATTAAGATATGGTAACCCGATTCAAACTAAAACTTAAAACTCTTCCTACCCGATTCAAATTAAAACTTAAAACTCTTCAAAAAAAAAAAAAAAAAACCAACTGGACGTGTGCAATCATTGGTTCACACATTTAAAATTATAATTATGATTTTATCATAATACTTTATTTGAGTTCCCGCTAATAAATTATCTTACAAAATTAGAATGCAGAATCAAAATCACCGATTTAAAAGCACTTAAATGGGCGACTTTCTTGATTATGGTTTTGAGGTATTAGATTCCATGCAATCTAGAAATTAGAATTAAAAACTCATTTGGAAAGTTATGCTCAATTATGATTCTTGATTATTGTAATGATTGAGAAAATCTCAGACCTTAAATAATATAATTTATGTATTTAAGTCAAGGATTTTCTTAGACAAATATTATGTGACTGAAGGATTTATGAAATTAATATATGTATTCCTGAATTCTGTAGCAGATTTCATGTTAAGTTCATGTTTTCGATCAAGTAAATTCGATCGATAAATTCTCGCCGTACTTTAAGGAGGAATAATTTCAGTACAAGTATAGTTTTGAGAATCTTAATTTCAAGAATCTCTAAACACAGCATGATGTTAGCAGCGTAAAAAAAACGCGCTGACATTTTTAAAGAAGAGAAATCCTTAATTGCCAGACAGCTAGGTTAAAGTCACAAGATAAATACCTATAGTAGAAGGGTACAACGTGAGCTCAGGAGTTGACACCGTCAGAAACAATGTCATTCCCGGGATATAATGCAGAAAAGTTAAATTTAGAATTTATTCAGTCTAGAATTAATTTCAAGACTTGAAACAGTTTAAGATATTACGCGAGTAAGAATTTAACGTGATATCAAAGCAGACGAGGATTTAAAAGTTGAACTGAAAATAAGTAGTAGAAAAAAAAA